ACACATATACATACATACATACATACATACATATATATATATATATATATATATTAATAACATTTTATTTATATATTATATATTAGTAATATATTATATATATAAAACGTGTGTGTGTAATATAAGATAAATGTATATGTATGTATACATAAAATAATTGTACATAATAACTATACATAACCTGTCAATGTTTTTTTAATTTGCATTGTAGAAAATGTTATTTTATAATATTACATTTACATAATAAATAAAATGTAGCTTTTTAAAGAACTAAATACCCTTTTAGCGTGCTTTTGGAAATGATATGTACAAGCACTGTGGCAGCACATTAATACTTAATTACAGATCCTCGTGGATAAGTGTTTAAATGGCCAGCCATATGGACGCAGTAAAACAGCTGCGCTGCGCATGCGCGGGTTTCCAAAGCCGCGGCTGCGTCAACAAAAACTGACGAAACACAGCCAAGCATTTTTTTAAAAAGAGGGCGAGACTCCACCCAGCGCTCACTTCCGTGTTGTGTCACGTGCTGCTCAACCGCGTCGTCTATTGGTTGGTTTATATCCCTGGATGAATTTGAGCAACGATACTGAGGTTCTTACATAAATACAAAATAAATGTTTCTGGACAAAACACAAATATCGACTTCCAGTGATCCTATATTTTTTAAATAAAAGAATAAAGTCTATTCAAATGGATTAATATAACGTTTTACCCGCAATTTTAGCTCTGAGCCCTAAGAAACTGTACGCATGCTGTGTCTGGCGCAGTGCAGAGTGGGCACACTGACCGATAAAGCAGCTTTAGAGACTCCTTTCTGAATGGGTTACCAGCAGAGTCATGCACCGCATCTGCATCCCAGCTAAGACAAATAATTTAAAACCATAAAACACCATGAAAATGAACCTCACTGTTGACGAGAATTTAGGTTGTTACGTTTATTATTGCTTGGGTGGTTGTTTTGATGGTTCGTAGATTGATAAACTGCAGTCGGTTCCAAGATAACGGCTTGCAGAATGATTGACAGATGCATTGACATTTTTTAACACTACTGTTATGACATTGCCTTTTCTTTTTCCTTTCCAGCCGAAACGAATGTCCTCTTCTACCTCAAGGATGCAGTCACACAGCTACTTGAACATAAAGAGGAATACACTCAGTTTGGTGTGGTTCGAAATTTTGCAGAATAGTAAGTTGTTGTTATTTAGCCCTTATAGCTATACAGCTATATAATTTTTGTTTATTTATTAATAAATAATTATAGTTTATATAAATAAAATATCGTTATTTATTAATCAATTCACACACACAAAATAAATTGAATATTTATTGTTATTTATTTATTATAATATTTTATTTATATATAATATATTATATATGAATATTTTTAAATACAGATATTACCATGTTACATTACAGTTTTACCAGTGTGAAGAATGGGAATCCTTGACCGTTCCCATTGATATTTAACAGATTTTTTTTTCTGTTGTAGGATTGTCCTGATAGATGATGCCACAGACTGTCTAATGTCATTCTCAGATTTTATTTATTCATTCCAAATCCAGTTCTATTATGAAGGTAATAAACTTTATAATATAATATAAGATAATATAATATATAACACAATATGAAGCTGCAATTATAACTGTAATAATAAGCTGTATTTTTCTAATTTTTCACTTTGGTAGTATTGAGGTTCTTAAAGTTTTGAGTCACAGAACCTACTTTATTGCAAAAAAAGACAATTTAAGTGAATTCAGATTGAATTAAATATTGAAACAAAACAATGTAAAATAAAATAACATAAACGGTTTTCCTTATACAGTCAAATAAAATGAAAAGTAAAATCTTGATGTTAAAAAAAGTAGATTCAGGTCTTATTAGTCAAGCACCCAATCACAGAAGCACTGGTGATATTTAAAGGTTCTGCTAACAACAAAAGCCGTTCTGACCTTGAGAGTTTAACTGCGGTTGTAACAAAAGACCAGAGTGACATCATCACTACCCTGTGAAAGCGTTTCTATGGTTACTCGAGGCTCCTTCATCGGAATGATCTCATCCTCATTCACTTTCACAGAGTTTGTGGAGAGTGTGTCTGTGATTTACCAAGACCTGCTGTCGGGGAAGAACCCAAACACCGTCATAGTCCCGCGCAGCCAACGAGGAGCCGGACGCTCAAGAAGGTGTAGACTCCTCCATCTTTTGTGAATGTATAGAGGGACTTTGTGAGAGGTTTAAACACAAGTAAGACAAAAGTTGAGAATTTTTTTTAACACCCATCATTCATTCATAATATATTGTAAACTTATTTATATCAGTTAGTTACCAAGTTTTTTAAGTAAAAAATTTGTAACTGTTATATTTTATTTTATACATTTTATTATACTAATATATATATATATATATATATATATACACACACAATTATAGGTTTTAAAAAAAATTTCAACAGTTATTTTATTACTTTTGAATTTGCAATTTATTTTTTAATTATATTCGATTTATATTTAAAGGTCCCATATTGTCAAAACTGAAATTTCCTGGCTTCTTTCATGATAACTGAGGTCTAAGGGCTAACTACCATATAAGTTTCAAAACAGTCAATCCACAGACAAATGCACACAGCCTGCATAAAGTAGCTGTGCCTTTTCATGAGCCATTGTGACTTCCTGACCATTATGTTTGGGTTCTTCCCCGACAGCAGGTCTTGGTAAATCACATACACACTCTCCACAAACTCTGTGAAAGTGAATGAGGATGAGATTATTTTCACTTTCTTTCGCAATCGCACGTACTTTGTTTATACTATGGAGCGGCAGTACTTACCACACATTTTACACATTTTACA